TGAGGCCCTCGAGGTGGCGCTGTGGGCCGCGGCCCATTGGTTAAGAATCTCTGAGACAGATTATGGTGCAAAGTTAAATTTATTTTTCATATATTCAGCGTTACTTGATTGTGGTTTAGAACTGAACCATGTGCCTGGAAAATACATAATAACCCCCCTTTAATTTCAAGTTTCTTCACAAACATATCTTAAATGAGAAGGAAAAGTTGAGCTCGGCACAGATTTTAACACCAGCAAGAGTTGCGTAAGAAAATGTCTGAATCTTGAGCAAGCTGAGGGCGAATAACTGCCCCAGGACAGCAAGGCAAAGAGCTCAGGAAGCAACGTGCTGAAGAAAGTTCAGGGAAATTATGTGGCGTATAAAATAGAGTGGTATACTCTCTTATTTGAAGACGAGAATAAAAACATAAAGGTTGTTCTACTTGATTCATAATAAAAAACCATCATCCTCATATATTTCTATGTACAGTAATAATAACACAAAGCCTTTAATTAGCATAAACTAACCAAGACGTTGCCACCGTATCTCACCTTGACTGGGAACATGGTGACGCTCTCTGGGCTGTCGATGCTGTACCAGATGCAGAGGTTGCCCCTGTTCTGGGCCACCACCACGTCACTGCCCGGCACCCACTGGACGTAAGAGCAGAAACTCAGCAGGGTGGTCTTCAGCCTGGACTCGACGTCGTACAGATGGAGCTGAGGAGCAGAGACAAACACTCAACAGACTGAACGAAAGATTCTGAAGCTATCCATGTCTGATTTAAACATCAAACACCAGTTTATTCTGGTCGGAGCAACTTGTTTTACTTTAGGACAAAGTTCAGCTAAACATTCAGATTCTTTTTTATGATTTTTTTTTATTTAACTGGTGTTTATAGATCCACATTTTGCTGCTACTGGTCAAATTACCTGTCCTGTTCTGACTGTACATGCTGCCACTAGAGGTGGGCAGCGCTAATCCAAAAATTAGCTCTGCAATTTCTAAAGCACTTATGCCATAGAAAAACTAGCGGAAGCTAATTTTAAAGCGCAAGTTCAATTTGATACTTACTAGCTGGCAATAATTCATGTACAATAAATGCACAATATTGCCAAGTAGCGGTGTATGAACCTTTTTACAACTTAATCCTACAACCTGCGATTGCTGGGGATGTGATTTCCTGAAACAGACCTTTAGCTCCTGGTGTAAAAATTAAAAAGTTGTTGAGGATTGCTAGTTCGGCTGCTTCTTTGTTGTTTTGTTTATTGTAGATTTTTCATTAAAGAAGCATCAATAAAGTAAATTTAAAACTGTTTATTGGAAAACTGAGGCGATGCATTCTGGGTACATG